GAGCACTTACGTCAACTCCCCGAGCCACGTTTGGGATCGCAACAGGAAGAGCTGAGTCAGAAGACATCTCGCACGGCGGATGCCCTTAGCAAAGAGGAATAAGCAAGCAGGATGAGCAATTGGATGATTATGCACACAAATCACTGGGGAGAGGAGTCCAGCACAGGGGCAATCCAGCAAGAGCCGCGGATGCACACAAGGACCTGGAGGGAAAGTGCAATGTGCAGTCAGCAATAAAAACAAGGGGGAAGGAGAAGGAGGGGGGAAGTGCTTATGATCTTCTGGAAGAAGGAGGGGTGCAATGGTGAAAGCACATGAATGAGAGTCCTTCAGGAAAGGTGAGCCGTGGGAGAAAGTTGCGTATGTGGGGCAAGGGAAAGGAAAACTATGAATTGAAAGTGTTAGAACTGTTTCCTGCAGAGAAATGGCAAAAAACACCTACAGAAACTCAAAGGAAAAAAAAAAATTGCAAGAAAATCCAAAGATAGAGTTTCCTCTGCACACAAGGAATCTTTGCTTCCAATTCACTTGCTGCTGTGCTTATCTGTTAGCAGTAAAATGCATTCACCCATCCCAAGCTCTCAAAAAACCCTAGTGCACTAATAATTACAAAAAAAAGAAAAAGAGTTTACATCCCCTGAAGAGGGACATGATGCATATGATGAAAGCTCCAAAGAAACTTTGTCAGGCTATGCTTAAAGGAAAAAAAGGTGGAAAACAAAGTGTTTGCAGACATAAGAGAACAGACAGAAGAGCAGGGAAGGGGTGAAAAAAGAAATAAAACAAAACCGAGGAAGTACTGCTCATCTGGGGCTTGTTAAATGCTACATGACAGACAGGGAATGCTGATGGATTGCTTCATTGCATTTGGTGCCATACTTTCAGTGTCCTTCCAGACTGATAGCATGTTACCTTATCTAAAGGAAAAGGCACCTTTAGTGATGCTGAGGATGCTGGACTTTAGCAACCCTGCTGCAGATGGGTGAGCAGCATGCCAGCAGGACATCCTTTGTGCTCCTGGCTTTTTTTCTTCCCTCTCTCTCTCTCCAATCAGACTAAATGAAATAGAGCTATTTGTGGGTTTAGAAGTGGCAACGGTTCAGCCCGCTCCATCCCCAGGTGCCAAAGGGTTGAAATAAGAGAAAACTCTTACAGAACATTTGTGCACTTTCCAATTGCCACACAAGTAGCCGCAGGAACAGCCCAAGCTACGATTCATCTTCTGAGCAGTCCCAGAAAAAGGGTTAGGAAGCTACTGTCGCTCTTATTTTCAAGCAGGGGAAGCTGATGTGAAATTTGGCATGGTCAGGACTTGAAAGAAACCCCAAAAGTTGTTGAGTTGCAGCCAAGCCTTCAAGCCAGGAGAGCAGAGGTTCCCAACACTGATGCTCTCTCATCCCCTCCCCACTCCAGGGCATCAGCAGCCGCACCCAGCAAGATCCTCTCCTGAATTCCCTCCCTTCCCATTCAGGATCACATAACATCCCTGGGGCGATTGCTCACATGGAGAAGCAACATGAGGAAAGTATTTAATGCATGTTTATGTCTTTTAATATAGTGTAGCAGCTGGAATCAAAGGCAAAAACCTCAGGCTTCGGCACATGAGTATCATGACTCTCCACAGAGCCCCCTTCTAATCACTGCCACTCTCTGGACCACAGCTTTAGAAATCAGGCACTAACCTCTAATGCCTAATTAGCAGAGCAGTGTAAGGCTTAGGAGCAGGCATATCTTCTTCCTCCCTAAGTGGCCACCAAATAAATGTTATATCTCCAGTTCACAGTCCCTTTTTACATTGCTGGCATTACCAGTCCTTTGTGTACCCACATGCTGTTACTTAAATTGCTTCCATGTTTTCATTACTTGCCCTCTGTGCTATGTGTATTGAAACTCCTGCAAGAAAGCTGAAGTGGTATTTCAAATACTGAGGACTACTGGAGATGTGGCTGGAAATATTATGCAACAAGCTAAAGTGATTTTTCAAATCCTGATAGAGTTTGCACTTCCTCAGGAGGAAAAATAAATTCGGGTGCTACTCCATGAGGTGCAGGACAACCACTCCCACCCACCAGAGACACAAGAATGGCAGCTCGGTCTGGGAGGCCTGTGTGTGTTCCCTGCATCCATGAGCAAGGTGGTAAACCCAAATAATGATGCTGCTCCCATGTGCAAGGGAAATGTGTGTGTTGGGTCAAACTCTCCTGGCAAGAATCCATGGAGGACAGTGGAGTGATGCCAGCTGAAGGTCTGGCCCACTCGTTTAAATGTGTTGTTCTTTCCTGCTGCTGCCAGTAGCTGCTTTTCTGGAGCTTGTGCTGATTAAAGCAACAGGCAATCAAACAGCCTAACGCTGAAATTTCAAAACCGCTAGAATCGTTTAAATGTGACAATCATTTTTTTTTTTCCCCCCAGCCACTACTACAGCTCTCAGTGGTTCTGCAAGCACACACAGAAGGCTCCTGTGTGCTCTGCTTTCCCAGGGAAACACAGGGTTGGACCAGAGAGCTACATCTCCATGCGAGTTTCAACTTGCTCTTTCCTCCTAATTATCTTCCCCAAAAAATTTCTGTACCTGCCACAAGACACACGCGTTGGCCATGGAAGAAATTACGCTGGCAGCACTGGAACTTTTCTCCCACTCATTTCCAGCCTTCGCTTCCTGCAGTGCCTTTCATCACCCCATAGATAGGAGCCGTTCACAGCCTGATCCTGAAACCCGCGAGCTGAGAGGCAGCCGTGTGCAAAATCCCTCCGGCTGCAGGGATGCAGGTTATTTCTCACCCTGGTGTTGCAGGCTGTAGGTGTCTCCAGGCATCAAACCCCTTGAGATCACAGCACCAGGGCCTTCCAGATCCCTGCTGGGGACATCTCTGCCGCAGCTGTGTCCCAGCAGCTGCCGCGCGCAGCCGTTGGGTGTTATGCTAATGGATGCACCGGAGCAGCAGCCCTCCACCCATCTGCTCAGAGCATCCACCTGCTGGGTGGTAGGGGGTTTTTTTGTTCGTTTTAATGGCCAGATTAGACCAGTGCTGACCCAAAGCACTCCCAGCCTGAGCACAGGGTGTGAACACAGCCCCAGCCAGCTCGGACCTCACAGCACAGGTGCAAGCTGGATGCAGCCACCTCTGCTTCTTTCAAACTCCTTGTCCTGCTGCAATTAAAGTCTCACCCTGAGCATAACCACGCTAACAAGGTGCATTTTTAGTTATTGTTCACATAGAGTTTGTTTGTTTTTTGTTTGGTTTTTCTTGCACATAACTTCCTTATACTTCGCTTTATTTATTCAACCTTTTCCAGTGACCCCACACAGGAGAGAATACACCTTCCATACCCATCTGACTGAGTGATAAATAGAAATGAAAGCTCTGATTTCTATGCAGTCATTTTCTTCACAGTCATTGCATGGTAGGCAGTGGTTTGCAATTTGTTTTTTCTCCCTGTGTGACCATGGAAGGATTGCTTGTGACACTTTTGCTGTCACCAAGCATAGTCTCAGGCAACTGCTGCTTCCTCTGAGACCTCTGCAAGCATTCAGGGAGGAAAGGAAAATCGATATAAGACATTGCTTGATGCTAAGACAGCCCTTCCTTCCCAACAGGTGGGAAAATCCCTTCTTAGTGTGTTATAGGGCCAAACCTCTGCTGTGCTAAAAAGAGGTGCTCCTTTCATGGCCATAGACTGTGCCATTTAGCAAGATTCTGAGAAAAAAAATCCCCTTGTTGTTTGTTTCCCTCCCCTCCCCCAAATTCAGCTTGTAAGAAAAGTACTCCAAGACTGAGTGATGTTAACATCCCTGGGCTCTGCCTTGAGTCAATGGAAAGTGTTGAAGCTTCAAAAAGTAATTTTGAGTTATGAAAATTTTAGTTTAAGTCAGTCTGCTGAGGAGGGTTTCTCCAGGGAGAAGTGGTGGCAATTAGCCTCCTCAAGGCTTCACATAAGCCTCTGAGCATCCATCAAGTGCATAATGTATGGGAAAAGAGGGATCAAAGCTGTATGAGCATGAAAACCAAGTCATGCCCCAAGCTCTAATCAGTGGGTGCCTACATCCTAGATGAATTTGTCCAGGTTTTGGAGATACTCATGAGTCTTTCATCAAATCTGGCTTCCTGACTGAACTCATCATGGTGCCCATGTGCTACTAAGGAGGCAGAGGTGAAGTGTTTATATTTGACCTGACCAAACCTCTTTTTCTAATGACTGGGACAGAAAACACCACTACACCCAAAAAATCATGGGCAGTCCCCAGCAGTGCTGCTTAATACACTCAAATTCATTTTAAGAACTAGGTGTGGGAGACACTACTGAAAATTCAAGCCAACAGTAAAACAAAAGGGTGCTCCAGAAAACAGCTCATACAAGGAAAGGATTTTCTTTCTTTTCCCATCCTTGACTAAAGGAAAAAATAAAAAAAGATCCATTTTTCCCCAAACATAAAGTACCAAGAATTTCTCTGCAGAAGGATATTTCAAGGAAATGATAAGCATCTGGAAGAAAATGAGACTTATAATGGAAGTATTTTCTGTGGCATAACTGTAGTGCTGTTCGCACAATGCTGTAATCAAGAATAATGGAGCCCTTCACCCAGAATACAGGAATGAATTCAATTGTTCACCGTGCACATACCTCTATTTTAAAAATGCAGTTGAATGCTTTAACTGCCAAAAGGCTCGAGCATTAGCGCTCAGGCACAAAGCAGTTCAGAAGTGGGCTCCTTCATTTCTCACTCGTGTAATGATTAATCTTAAAACTCAATTACACACAAAAATAGAAGAGGCCCTGTTGAACTTTTGATCCCTTCTGAATTGTTTCATCCGAAGGATAGTTCAAGATCATTCCCGATGCGTATGCGGTGGTGCAGGATGACACCCGCCCCGTGCTCCTCCATGGCCAAACCTTGCCAAGGTTATGCCTTGGATACAAACTGTTTGAGCAGGTTTATTCCTCCCTTCTCCCTCTGCTCCCAGGAAAAATTGGAAATATTGTGAAAGGACAGGACTTACCTTCTTTTTGGAGTGTGATCTGTCCTCCTCTTTAGCTGTTTTGCTGTTTTTCCCAGTTCTAGAAAGCTTCTGCTCCCCAGACTGCTTGATGGTGATTTTGATCTCGGGAGGGCAAATATAGTTCTCCAGGTTCTTTGGGGGCTTCTTCGCTCTCTTGGTGGTCTGGATCTTTAGCTTTAAACTCCCCTCTGTGAAGTTTGCCTCCTTGATGGAAAACTCCTGCTCCTCCAGGCCATCTCCTGCCACCCACTTCTCGCTGTCCGCATTGGAAGTGGAATCCACGTCTCTTCCAGAACCCAGCTCATCCTCTTCCTCTGGCTCCAGCCTCTCACTGCTCACTGGGATCCCCTTCCCCGAGCCTGCTGCAGGCAGCATCGTCTCCCCTGCGCAGCTGGAGACAGGAGGAGGCTTCGTGGAGGTGACAGCAGCAGGCAGAAAATCTGCCTCGCCTCCTCTCTGCCGGGAGCTGCTCAAAGTCTCCCTGGGCTCCATAGCAATACCACAATGCCCTGGAGTTTTGTTGGAGGGAAGGGGAGTGCGGGAGGGGGTGAGGAAAGCAAGGGCAGCTGTGATCCCAAGGAGCGAATGGTCACTGTCCACCAAATTCAATGTCCCGGTCACCCAGAGGCTGCAAGTTGCTCAGAAGAGACCAAATCTGCCACTGTCAAAAGAAAGAAGAAGAAAGAGAGGAAGTTAGCACACATACACACATATCCAATGAGGGTGAAACAGGGCACAGGGCAAATTCAGGCTTCCCCTGTAGCATCCCAAGGGCTTTCCTTGAAGCAAAATGGGAACTGAGGCTCACCAGCATTTCTGAGCGCTGGACCTGGTATCACAAAGCAAGGAACAATAGCCACGTGTATTGGTAAACTGATGAAAAATTATATATATATATATATATATATAAACCAAAATACCCAAAATTGTTCTCTAAATCCAAATGTCTTCAACTCAACTTAGGAAATAAAGGAGGGGACAGCCAATTTTCCACAACCATGAACCTCCCCCTTTACTTCAAAACTGTCACTGCCACAGGGTTTTCAGAGGGGGAGAAAAAGTAGAGGCAGATACTTGCCTTGGGTATAACAATAATGCATTGATCAGAGCACAGAAAACATGGTGCTGCCCTCTGAATCACCAAACTCTCTATTTCCCCATTTCCCAGGTATGAGAGAGAGATGCCCTTGGCAGCCAGGTATTCTGATCTCAAAGTTTTCCAGAGTTCCTCATTCCCTTGGGTACCACTGCTCTGTTATAGAGACTTGGGCTGGCTGATGCACTGACTGTGCTCTCATCCTTGCAAATTTTGTCTTTCTTTGGAACATCAGAGATGGAACCCTCTGATATGGAAGCACTCGTACTCGGTACCTTATAAAGTCTCAGCTAAAGTTAAGGGGAAAAGCTGTGAATGTTCAGCTGAGGCAAAAGTTGTGTCACCCAATGACATGAAAGACTAATATCAAATATCTTGTTAAAAATAACACTTATACAGTGTTTTTTAAAGGTATTGAGGTGTTTTCACACATCCTCCTTAAAACCCCCCTATTGGCACACCCCCACATGTATCCATCATTGGCAAGCCAGTTTAGGTTACAGAATTAGCAGAGGAGTCTACAAAACTGTAGCCTTCAAAATTAGCAGAGAGAAATAAATATATTTTCTGCTACTTTAGGAGAAACAGCTCCCCAGTGGATCAGAGTAACACTTCTGACATATGGAGAAGGAAACAAGAAGGCACTGCGAGGAGTAGGTGCATAGGGTGCAGACCGACTATGTCAGCAACAACTCCCTGCTAGATTAGCTCGGCTACACTCAACTCAACTGCAATCAGGATCTGAGCACAGCCAGGGATTTCCTAGATCATTCTTAGCAGCAATATATAAAGGAGAAGCAAAAATGTCATGCTACCTATCACCAAATCAGAACAGCAATGTCAGTGTAGACTAGTCTGAAACGCAGCTCAACTGGAAAAAACACATCTTTGTACCACTGGCTTCTTTCAGCTTTTTAAAGGTCCCTTGTAGGAGCTTGAAATTCAACAAGAAGTAATAACAAGCACCTTTATTAGTTATAGATCCAAATTTACACTGGAGCTTGGCCATGGGTCACTTGTCTGACCTGGGCACATATGGCTACTAATGAAAAGTCCTAAGCATCCTAGAGCTCCATGAAATCATTAGGTGACCTCCACCCAAGTCCCAGCAGACACAAATTCAAATAAAGTTCCCATAAATAGCACAAGCTGACAACTCAAGCAGAAAGAGAAAAAGGAAAAAAAAAAAAGGGAGAACTCAGAGCCTCAATTGCCATCTGGCCTTAGAAATGGTTTCTGTAGCTCACAGGAGATAGAAATACACCATAAAAACACTTGTACTTAAGTTGCACATCTCCTGGAAATAGGGGGAAAGACTAATTTCCCAGAGCTGCTGCCACTGGTCTCATTTAAGACGATCTTGAGGAACTAACAGACCCAAGGTTTCCTGCATACCCACCCTGACTCACCCTGAGGTCAGCAGGTCTCTCCACTTCACCACCTGGGAAACAAGGATCACGCTTACCTCCTTCAAACCCATTCTGGAGTGGGTTAGTTAATGTCCTTGCATAGTTTCTAACCCAAGTGTTTACCGTGTGGTAGTTGCTAATTACTAACGCAATTAGTACGTTAAAGCCACCCAGTTGCAAGGAACTGCTCCACCTAATTTACTGACTTTGCACCTTGCCTTGCCTCTCCTTTGTGCCTGTGGAGGTGATGGGAGTCAGAGCTGCCACCTTCCTCTTCCAACCCGTCCAATAAAAAAAAATAAAAAATAAAAAAAAAATAAATTAAAAAAAAAAAAAAAACAACAACAAAAAAAACCCCCCCAAACGCCCCCTTCCCCCCCCCCAAACTATCTTATTTATCTGCCATTTTGCATTGTTAATCTACTTGGAGAGGGACACAATGTACACCACACTCCTGGGCTGCAACACAAACACAAGGTGGTAAAAGCTCGGCGGTGGTGCAGCATTCCAGAGAGTTACTGCTTTGGTATGCACGCATGTACAATGGGCACTCTGTGCCGGCCTCCGCCCACAGGCTTTTAACCTCTCTCACTGCTGGTTGGAAAGGGAAGGCTCTGGCAGACAGCACCTAACTCAGCAGGATGAGTCTGCAGCCACCAAGGCTGCAAGGAAGGGACCACGGCCACCACACCACAGACACCCCTGTAACGAACGAACCCACTTGGTGCCTTGTGTTCAACGGGAGCTTAAATACAGCTCGTGGCTGCATTTAAGAGCCTGCAGAAAGAGCCAGGAAGGGCCTTTCAGGTTTTGAGTCGCTGGATAATATTTTTTATGGAGGGTGAATAAAAACCCAGGTTTCTGCACTGAAGTCTGGTTGTGGGTCTTGGACCCAAACTCTGGGTCATAATGTCCAAACACTCATCCCAGCTTGGCTGTGTGCCTCCAGGTCAGTGTAAACAGGCAACAGATTAATAAAGTCATTGCATTACACCCATGTCAGATGAGTCCATGCCAAATCCACCTTAAAATCCAACTTAAAAATATTGGCCTCCTGTTCTGCCAAGAGCTTGGAGATGATGATATCACCAGACCCGCAGGCAGCAACAAATAACCCTGTGCTCATATGCTGCACACAGAATTAACTGGGTCATTGTTTTAAGAATCTTCTTACTCTCCTCCAGGGTTAATAGTTAAATGATTTGGGTGCAGGGACATCACACTCGTCTTTCTAGTTTGGGCAGGCTACCTGTGCTTTGACTAATTAGAAATAGCACTTCAGCCTTCTGAATGTGTAACCTTTATTGGAAACCTCTCTACCTCCCCTCTCCAGGGTGCCTGTGAGCAGAATCATAGAGTGGTTTGGGTTGGAAGTGATCTTAAACCTCATCTAGTTCCACCCCCCTGCCACAGGCAGGGACACTTTCCACCAGACCAGGTTGCTCCAAGCCCTGTCCAACCTGGCCTTGGACACTTCCAGAGATGGAGCAGCCACAGCTTCTCTGGGCAACCTGTGCCAGGGCCTCACCACAGTCACTGGGAAGAATTTCTTTCTAATATTCAAACTGCACCTACTCTCTGTTGGTTTAGAGCCATTCCCCCTTGCCCTACTGCTGAAGAGTAGTAGTTCTATTTAAACGCCCAAGACATGTGGGCTACCACCTGGAACTTGCCCTTCCAGGGCTCCAATGCACTGCAGCATCAAGTCCTGTTCAATAAGCAGCTACAGAAGTGTCCAAATTAAGCTCACAGAGGAAAGTGTTACTGCTAGCAGGCTTCCTGCAGTCAAGTTAAATTTGAGGAGGATAATTCACAGGTGAATGACAACAAATTTCACAGAAGTTGGCATTAGCTCTTAATTAGGGAGACATTCACGCTTCCTCTGATAAGTACTGAGAAATAATCAAATGCCTGCTTGCTCAGCCTTGCTCCCAGTGCTCAGGTTTCTTATCAGCTCCTTTGGGTCATACTGGATGTCTTCCATTAAGGGTTCTGAATACATTCCTTTCTCCTGCCTCAGGCAACTGCTCATGCTTGTAAGTATTCAGATGCCAGGACTATAAAGTGATTAAAGTGAAAATTTGCTGAGGACAAAAACAGAGGTGAGAGCCCGTAGGAGGTGGGGAGAAATCCACCTGTTTGGGATTCTCCATTAAATGAAAGTGGACATAATAATTGGCATGGTTTTTGCCCTAAGCTTGGACTTGATTATCTTGGAGGTCTTTTCCAAACCGTAATGGCTCTGTGATTCTAAGTGTGAGAGCAACCACGGTAGTAACAAGCAAACATTGGTTTGACACATGCAAGCAAGGCAGGTTCAACTGCCCAGCATTTGTGCTGTTCCTCTGCTCAAGCACCAGGAACACCAGCAGGGAGCTGGGAGCAATATTAAGAGGTGCTGCCCAAATCCCTTCTACACTAATACCACTGTAGCTACTGAGACTTGCATTTCGGAGTCTGTGAATAAAATTACTTAGGATGAAAAACACAAAATCTATTGAACAGGTTCAAGTGAGGCAAAACTGAGGCACAAGTCTGGGAATGTTGTGGTGAACACAAAGTAGAGGTCACATCTTTTCTGGCCCTGCATCTATCAGGTTGCCTTTGGATCTTGCGTTCTCCCATAGGACATACACTTAAATCCCTAATCTGTGCAAAATATCAGAAATCCTGGAAGCCTCTTTACACTCCATCTTTCTAAAACCATTCACCACAAAGCACTGGAGACTACACAGCAGTATTTAATGATGAGATATCACCTTTCACTCCCAAGGCTCCCAGGTTGCTTCCATGATTATATATGCCACTGCTGAAATGCAGCTGCGTCTGGGGCAAAGGCCAATGGACAACCCACATTACACCCAAGGGAAAGTTTTGGTCAGAAACCTGCTTTTATGAGAAGTGTCTGTGAAACTTCAGAATTCATCAAGGGACTTAAAAACCCAATGGCCTGGCATGTGGCAAGCTGCACTGGACTCAGTTAACCCACATTAGGAGTAAAAAATGCCCCAACCTATTTCCTCATTATTGTTTTACAAAGAAAAAAAAATAATTGGAATTTCGTGCTTGGTTGTGGTCTCTGTCCACGCACTGCCAGACAGCCAGCAGCATGACTTTGATGGAGATTAGGAACAGGCGCCTGATCACACTTCTATG